GGTGCGCGGTTTGAAACTTAGGCTTGAGGTGTGTTCGGCATTTTCGCGACACAACACACACACCGTGGATCATAACAGAGAAAATAGTTGCGAAGGACTAAATGAAACAAATGATTCAAGAGGAAAAGTAGCACTGCGCAATGCTACCTGGGGGCCGCATGGCATGAAAGTTATTGGCATCTTTTCTGCACAACCTACAAGTGGGAATGTGAGAACTTCTGTGGATAAATCCCTCCTATCTGTTACCATTCCAATGCGAAATTGAGATGGAAAATTGCGTCCGGGTGGTTGTTAGTTCGGATGTCACTCAATCATCGGCCTTAGAATTTTTCCTGGGTGTATTTAAACCCGCATGCTTGTCGCTAGCGGCTCAGGGATTTTAAAGCTTTGAGACTCAGACAAATTGCAAATGGATGTGGACATGACGAAAGGCCGGAGAGAGACGGGGTTGCCTGCCAGTGACATGAAGTATGCTCTAATCGTTCAGCTGTAGCACCCTTCCAGTGCTAACTGCCCCGTCACCAGAAGGAACCACGGGGGCCTTGATAATGCCAGGTCGCTAGGGCTAGACAGGCGAAGCCGAAAAGCAGGGATGGTGCTCCAACCACGGACCTTCCGGCCAGTAAATCCGCTCTCTAACCATCTCGCCCAATATCCTCCAGTGATGTGTCTTGAAATGCTTTCCACATTTTCAGCGACGATCCTCCGGTGCTAAAATCGATAAAAAAAAGTTGAAAAGACGGTGCCTAGTTCTCAGAAAGGTTCCATTACGTGATTTCTCACGAATTCACTTTACGTAAATAGATCCTTCGGGATGCTACAAGTGAGCACAAAGCATAATTGTCGACATTCGTACGGGGCATACGTCCGGCCAGGTAATCTCTTTTAGTAATATTAAAGGCCAGTGGCAGTTGGAAATAGTTCATACAGAGCAGCGAAGATGGTGACTGAGCAGCTCGGCTTTCATTATCGTCACGCAAGACTCAAGCATGGTCGTGTCTCAGTCGGGCCCTCAGTGCTGCTCCAAGCTCTCGGCTTCAGTACATAGTTCCCCACCAAATCTCTCCAATGGACTGTCCACTGACACCCAGATATTGGCGCATCAGTTGTATCAGCTGCCGCTACCTATCCCAACCATGGCAGCTGCAACCGCTGCTCAGCAAGTTCACGATTTGCAAAGTCGATGGCAGCACTGCATGATACTTTTGCTATAAGTGATAAGTTCATAAAGCTTATGTTGCTAACAGCCTCCTACAATGAGGTGTGGACAGATAGCTCACCGTCTCGGGGTCTCCATCCAGGACAGCAGCAGTGATCAGCACAACTGGGTTTACTGGTAACCGTTTTCATAACTCGTTGACAAGTTATTCCTTCGACCCTCCAGGCTCGCTCGTGTGCTTGCCTTAAAAGAGCTTTTTCGAGGAATTCGGTCATCTGGCGTACAGTATCGCGACCAAAACAATAGAGCCTATGGAGTTTGATCATTTCATCCGTCGTGGGCGGGTTATTTCGGCTGAAATCATTCGACATACTTCACCCCATAATGTTTGAAAACCGGTCCTCTTGAGTGACTTGTATACAAATACCCAACAACATAGCGGTCACAGTTCAGCTGTAGCATCCTTTTAGTGCCTAAATGCCATGCCAACTGAAGGAAGCACGATGGCTGAGATACTGCTGGGTTGCCCAAGCCTGGACATGGGAAGTCGAGGCGCAGAGGCTGGGTTTGAACCACGGAACCTCTGATCAGTAAATTCGCGCTCTGACAATGAGACCTCTCCCTTCCTAAAATACTCAACCGGAGTGTTGTTCGAAATTGTGAGTCTATCATCTCAATCTTCGGTTCTAGGAACTTCAAAGAACACGTTGTTACAAGCAAAAAAATGTGGGAAAGGAAGTGATAAAACGGATTGACTCGGGCTTTCACATTGGTTTTGCTCAATAGCAGCCATCCTATTGACCTCTGTGACTGTCATGGTGGCCATACGACTATTGTTGAAGATATTTTTAGTTTTTCAGTAGAAAATCTGCCACGTAAGTGGGGATATTCCATGTTGGAAGGCTGGGAAGCACTGTACAGCTGTTTCATCCTTATTGCGAATCATCAGCAGCGGCCATCTCATGCAGCTCCAGAGAGTCTCGAGCCCGCCGTCTCCCGTTAGCATTTTGAACACTCAACTGTTCGGCCATTGACGCCTGACCAGCAGTGTGATTTACTTGCTCCTGGGTGGGATATGGTGCTGTGTTTACCCGCAACCTTATGTATTTCTAACTAGACATTGGCCTCTTGCCAGCTTCGGTACTTCTATTGCCGCGCACTGTAGGGACACCTTGAAGCTAGCCTCAATCGTTGGTTTGGTTAGGGCGCGAACTTACTGACCGAAAGGTTCTTGGTCCGAATCCGATCCGCATCTCGATCACTCCTGTCTAGGCTTGGGCAAGATGGCAGTATCTCGGCCTCATGCTTCCTTCGGGTGGTGTGGAACCTAGGCACCGGAAAGGTGTCACAGCTGAACATATATTATTATAATAACTGGTGGCAATACATAAGTAATGCATGAGCTTGAGGTAGCAAATTAACTGGCAACAAAGTACATGGTTTGAACCCAACCCCTCGACTGATCCAGGCATCGTTTTCGCAGTGTGGCTTTATCACAACCCTCGTTTTTCCTTCACATTGCATGGCAGCTGTGCACCCGTGATACATACTGTTGTTCCCATAGACGTTGGCATAATTGTCCTGCTGATGATCGTCAAAACACAACCCAAGGTCTGAACACTATTAACCAAACACAGTTCGCCGCTTAGTCGCAAGATGGCAAGTTCTCCACGATGTTCTGGAAGTGTTCATCCAAGTGTTAACATTTTTGCAGCATTTGTGCTCCTTTTTCTGTTTTACGTTGGAACACCTCCAGTGTCCCAGGCCGACCTACTAGCTTTCTGATGTTGGCCGCAATCGTGTTACCATAATGAAACTGGTGTAGGCAACTGTGCGTACTAAATCTCTGAGCCAGAATAAGTTACTTAGATATCTGTCGAACTTTGCCCCAAACGATACGTGCCACGCTGAAAGTCACTATCGAGTCAAGAAGGGAGAATGTCCTCTGTAGTCGATGGCTTTAGATTACAGAACATCATGGATAGAGTTTAGAGGCTCATTTGACTCTATATTCGAAATTTTTTATTCGAGTAATCGGCAGGGATGAACGGTATCTTTTTCAGAAAAACTACTTGTCAATCTGATTTGCCTCCAACAGAACAAGCAATGGACAGGAAAAATATGTTCAACTGCAGCACCATTTCTGTGCCTAACTGCCATGCCATCCAAAGGAAGCACGAGGGCTGGGATACTGCCAACTTGCCCAAGCCTAGACAGGGGAATTCGAGAGGCAGGCGTCGGATTCGAAACACGGATCTTCCGGTCAGTAAATTCACGCTCTAACCACTTGGGGCATCTCGCCCCCGAACAAGCAATTGAGTGGCATGTGAGAAGAAATTTAGCACGGCGTTTGCCGAAGAACCGTACAACTAATGGGGCGAGATGGCTCAGTGGTTAGAGCGCGAATTTACTGATCGGACGGTCTGTGTTCCGAACTCGACCTCTGCCTCCTGACTTCCCCTGTCTAAGCTTGGTCAACTTGGCAGTATCCCAGCCCTCATCCTTTCTTCTGGTGGCATGCTAGTTAGGCACCAAAAGGGTGTTACTGCTGATCAGTTTTTTTTTACCAAGAATAATTAGTAGACTCATGTCCTCTTGGCACCCTCTTTATGTATGCGATGATTCATGGTGAAGTGGTCATGTCGGGTTTTGTATCGTAATTTACCACCTTCCAAACCATAAGTTAAACTCAACATTATGGCCCAAGTGGGTGCGATCACGTAGGGAAGCTAGGGGATGCCTGTGACACCTCAAAAACGATAGGAAACATTGATTTCCACGAGAAATGAATGTTTTCTGTCAGTTGAAGGGAAACGTAGGCTCGGAACGGTGGGTTATCCTATAAGTTGGTTGCGCTCATTTTCGGTTGCTCACATGCCTTCCGGAAGCATTCGGAAGCCCAAGTGCAACTCGTGAGATTATCCATGATCGGAATCACGTGGTTCATGTTTCTAATGGGAAATGTCTTTGAGTACCGGTTTAAAAATTCATGCCAGCACTTATGGCGTGAGGAACTCGGGAACTGAGAACAGCAGCTCTTTTGGCTAAGCACTTGAACACACCGAACATCACTCACCCACATCTTGTAGGATGATTATTTCCACCGATAAGGCTTTTAACTGAATGGTGGAAGCGAACCATCGGTGTTAAACGCTGACGTCTTGCTGTCGATAATGGCGATTATGACTAGGTTGTCTGCACTATCCCTACATTAGGCTACTTCGACTGCACAAGACAGTCACTGTGAAGTAATTGAACCGCTCTAGGTCCTATGTCGATTAAGACCTACACCTGGTATTTTCAAAGCCTCGAAGAGCACATCTGATGTTGACAAAATGTTCAACCGCACGTACTTCGCTGATGTCAGCATCTTGCACCTTTGGGCCTTCTGTCAAAGATTCCCTGACATCACTCCTGATACCTGGACAAACCTCCATGGATGTATGGCAATTGTTCATTGGTCTTCGCTACTGAGGTTCTGTCGTTCTAGATGTTGATGGCAGCCGGAAGTGATTGTATCATGTACTAGGACCCGTCGATGAGATAAAGCAGATAATCGTTCAACTGTAAAACCCTTTTTGTTACCTAACTGTCATGCTACCAGAAGGTAGCGCGAGGGCTGGGATACTGCCACTTTACCAAAGCCTAGACAGGGTTAGTCAAGAGACAGAGGTCGAGTTCGAACCACGGACCTTCCAGTTAGTAAATTCGTTCTCTAATCACTGAATCATCCCGCCCCACGTCGGGGCCTTTGGCAGTCCGAATCCGTTAATTCAGGCTATTGTGTTAGTGTCACTAACGAATGCGAAGATTTGTGAACCATTGTAACTTCCCACCTTTCAGCCTGCCCATTTATCACAATTCGGCGCACGTGACTACTGAGCGAAATGTGGTTTTCTGTTCTGTGGTGGTTGAGTATACTGAGTAAGTACCAATATGTAGTACGCTTATGCTCATCATTCATTAGGTGCCGTCTACAGCCAACTCTTTTGGAATTTTGACTCCGACAATAAGACGGTTTTCCATGCTTACATTTTGGAGAAAAATCTCCAAGTTTCTACCCATCCTCCGCTGCATGTCAGCCTTCCCAATGGTAGGTTCTCAGTTTGTGACTTTACTGTAGCGTATTCTTATACACATAAATGCACTTCTCTTGTTCTTATCACATCTTCATGCTTTCCTTGCTGGGCCTACGGGATCCTGCTTGTACCTGACCGGAAACCCTGCATGGTATGGGACACAAACGACCTCAGCGATGCACATGGGGTAATTTCCTGGCTGATCAGTCTAGTTAGTGTTCGTCAGTCGTTGTTCAGCCGGCCAATCCAACTGCTGATGCCTTAATTCGACAATGTGCTCAGAAATGGCTTATTTTAATGCTCTCAAAAGATGCAGGTGCCTCATTCTTGATAGTGTTTGTACTATGTACCTACCGTTCATTTTTCTTCCCACACCTTACTGAAGCTTTCTCCCCTCCATCATGTGTTACTGGTGGTGGTGATAATGATGATCATAATGAACTAAATCTGAACTAAATCTGATAGCACCCAATACGAAAGTATTCACTTACGATCCAGTTCAACTGGTGCAAGACACTCGTTTCTACACTAGCTATCCATTCCTACCTATTATCCATGGAAGAAATGCCATCGGTGCCCTGACACTGAGAGAGGCCTTTCACTCTATCTTGGGATTATAATCATAAGTAGGCGAATGGTCTTCATGCCTCTTGCGTGCATAACGGTAGTTATACCCGTTTCTGCTTCACTCGTCCCAGTGTTGCACACCCCGCATGTAAATCAGGTCGAAACCCACATATGGGCGATCCGAACTGCTGAAAATGCTCAACAGATTGAACAGTCAAACACCAAGTCGGATGAACAAACTCATATCGGAATGGAGCGATGTTGTAGAGACCCACTTGTTCGGTTTGTCGTACAGCAAGTCTTAATTATCAATTCGGTCCTCCCAGTGATAACTTGTACATCACGTCTGTTCGCTACTGGACAGGACACTTTTTGTGCGCTGCTTATCAGGACCGTTCTTTCGAGTGTAATAGGTGAGCCCATCACACTTATTGTCTCAACGATTCACCTTGTTTGCCATCTCCATGGGATCGTTTTGAGGGGATATTTGAGTCCGATTTGGTCCATCTCTCGAGGTTTGTATTTTTCGATACAATTTCCGTCAGTTTCCGTGCCATCCTGAGCATTAATGGTCCTTTGTGTGCTAGGGCACATCAACTCAAAACTATGTCTAAGGGTTCCGTATATTGTGTTTGAAAATCAGAGGTTTCCGAGCCTTCTGGAATGCATTTGGATATGAGTTGAAGTCCAAGTACCTCCCAAGCAAGATTAATTAAGCGCATATCTCTAAAGGGTGTCCTTTCATTACAACATTGATTTCCCGCTCTCAAACGTTTTGCAGGTGGACATCTCTGTCGTTTCATTCTCCTACCGACCGAATCCAACGCAGTGCCACCGTTCATCACTGCAGAAGTCACTGATGGAGAAAGAGGATATGGTCGAATAGTGCTGAACGAGTCTGCTTTGTACGTCACCCGAGCACATGGCGATACCACAGTCCACGGTGGCATGTTTCATTTGAAAATTTACGCTGAAGATTGTGGCCAACCGCCACAGGCGACGCCTGTATGGACATTGAATGTGATTGTAAGTTGCACGTAGGCTTTAGGGGAGGAGTTTCTTCGGAACATTTGTGGTCATTCATAATAACTTCATCTCTACTACTTCCAGCTGATACCCCGGGAAAAACTGCAAAATATCGCTCCATAGAAAAAGACTACTTAGTATTCAAATAAACGGCCGTCGAGATAACTTAGTGGTTAAGGCGCCAATTTATGGAACGAAAGGTCCGTGGTCCGAACCCGATCTTAGCATCTCGACTGCTTCTGTGTAGGCTTGTGTAGGCAGCTTGTCAGTATCCCAGCCCTCGTACCTCTCCGTTGGCATGGCAGCTAGGCACCGAAAGGACGGTACCACTGAACGATTTTTTTAAAGATTCCATTGAATATTATTTACCCATTGTCAAGTGGTTATTAGGACCGCGGTGACAAGTGAAGATTCAAATAAGATAGTGTCAACCAACTAGGTAGATTTCTCTACCCCCGACAATTAACCGTCGCTTTTGGTGCATAGTTGCCATGCCACCCGGAGGAAGCACGAGGGCTGGGATACTTCCAGGTTGCCCAAGCCTAGACAGGGGAAGTCTAGAGGCAGAGGTCGGGTTCGAACCATGGATCTTCCGGTCAGTAAATTCGCGCTTTAACCACTGAACCTTCTCTCCCCTTCGTGCATATGTTAGGGTCTTCTGTGCACATTAGCTTGCTGGACACTGACCCATCATTACTAATTTGGTGAACGCTACGAGTTTCGCGTCAAAGACGAGTCCATCTGATGATGGTTTGTTCGGATGTATTTTGTGATGGTAACTTGTTGCTGTTCCGGTGACTTCCAGCATTTCGGAGGTTTTGACAAGCAACTGTGTCCTCGAACATGTCGGAACACATAACCGGCTGTGCACTGATGATGTCTCCTCGTTTTTGGGGATGAAACATATTCAACTTAGTTGCCAAGCCTCGCGAACGGATCAACAGCCAGTAAATTTACACTCTTCGCTGTTTTGTGCGAACATGACTGTTCTACATCTTGTTTACTTCTAGAGAGTGTGTCACCATATATTCTTAGTTTTTTTAAGATCGAGTAACGTGAATAATACTCGTAGCGGTTATACTCGAACTGAGCCACTCTCGAGGTATCATATTCCAGGTGAGAGTATGTGATCAAATGAAAAATCGATGATCCACTCAGCTCCTGAGGACACTTTGGACCTTCATTACAAGCTCAGCGAAACTCAGCTACGGGACACTATCATTTTAACAATTTCAGGGCGCTATTTCTTAAACCGCGCGTCCGTTGATGAACGTGATTTCCGGGTGTAATTCTCGCTCTACCGTTGAGGCAATCATGTGACTACTGGCGAAGGCTTAGTATTTCTTAGGTGAATATTCATGGATCCTTGAAAATCGTCCTTCAGCTCCGCATTGACGATATTGCGTCGATTAGTCATGAAACTTTTGCAACTCAACTGCCAAGCTCGGTGAACAGACCAACAACCAATGTTGGTTTCTTTCAAGGCGCACAAACATCGTTCATGCATTCTTTGCCATTAAGTTAGGAGCTTTCGCCTGCTTTTTGTCGTTTATTCACCATCGGATGAAACATATCAAAGAATCTACTTATGCGACAGCTAATATTTTCACTTCTATCCGTTGCTCTCCTCACTGTATCGGCAATTCCTCTTTGTTGCCTTTCCGTACCAGCTTGTCCCCACGGATCTGCCTGTGTGGTCCGAAAGGCACTACACTTTCTTCGTGCCATCCACACTACCGGCGGGTGGCATCGTGGGCAAAGTCACCGGCTACGCTGCGTTCGACTTTGACGTGGACCCTTCGGAACGTCTGGGCGATGATACGGGAATGTGTGCGTACGCGATCAACAACCATCTGTCGGACGGCAAGTTTGATATTGACGGACATGGTGAGTGTCAGTTTCACTGTTCCTTGTTTTGTCATTGAATCGTACCACGGGTCGTTAAAGCAGAACTTGTGATTTGACCTTTTCGGACCTGGGCTAGACGGATATCTGTCCATACTGGTTCGGTTATCGGATAACGAACTGAAACTTCCCAGATATTGGTGAAGTACACTCATTTGCAAACCAATTTGGTACAAATGAATCTATCATTCACCTTATTGTTCGAATGAATGTAATGCACAAGCGGGTGGCGGGGCGGGATGGTCCAAGTGGTTAGGGTGAGAATTTACTGACCGGAAGGTCCGTGGTTCGAACCCGACCTCTGTCTCTCGACCTCCGCTGTCTAGGTTTGGGCGACCTGGCAGTATCCCAGCCCTCGTGCAACTTTCGGGTGGCATGGCAGCTAGGCGCCGAAAGGGTGCTATAGCTGAACGACGGGACTTTATTCGAGATGTCGAAAGGCTTCGCAAACGGGGAATTCAGTTGGGATTCCCGTTTATACCGAATTTATCTGAGAATGAGTCTATTTCACCATTTGCGTGCATTCTGTTGCTCAAGCTTGACAGAAACTCGAAAACTGCCCAAAAAGGACGAAATTGGTAGTGAGCTGTTCAAGTGCTTTCAGCAACCTTACGATTAGTACGTTCTCTGAAGAAGATGAACTATTATTTTTGTCAACTGACAAAAATAATAGTTTATCTTCTTCTGCATAGGTTGCGCTGGCTTGGCCACGTGCTGCTTATGTCAGTCGACCGACTTCCTCAAAGGGCTCTTTTCGCACAACCACGTGAAGGTTGGAAGAGAGCCAGAGGCGGTCAAACAATGACTTGGCAGTGAAGTATGAAAGCAATTATCATCCAACTCAGCTGCGCTGGTCATTGCTGTCTTCCTGAATGGGGACTCGAGGTGGGCCACATCAATGGCTAGAGACATTGTCAGATATGGCCCAGTCGCGCCCTTAATGGCGCTCGTGCATCCAAGCTATTGCCTTCAATGCATAGCTCCCTTCCCAACCCCCCCACTTGTCAGTTCACTGACAGTACTGGATTTATGCACCGATTTGTCATCTCCCGCTTGCAATGCGCAGCTACTTACCCCTCCCCCCAAATCATCGGTGAACGAAACTGCGGCAGCTGCAACCACTGTACGACAAATACGCGGTTATTACAGCTCACAATGATGAATGGTGATTTGTCAACCGGAAGTATATGCCCCGGATATGGACATTGTACTCGTTTCGTATACAAAACTACTGCTGCAAGCACAACTGGTCCTCACAACGTGAAACTTTTTCTTGGCCTGTCTTATTAGCATGCGCATATGTGTATGCATAGTTCCTACAAACGTCCGCGTTTTTTATCGCCACAAGCCAGAATCACTCAGCGTTAGCAACCACTTTTTATATTATCAAAAAAAAGACCACAAGTCGGCGGACAAACGTCTTCGAGTGTGCCTTCAAAAGCCGTCTCTGACTCCTGTCGCTTTGGTGCTTTCATACTCAAGGAGAGTCAATGTCACATGAATTTCTCACTTTCCAATCCAAGCAGCTGTGACACAACTGGATAAGGTCGCTTCATCGAGATGTAATCAGACCATGATGCGACGTGGATCATTGATCGAGTGAAGGACTGGCGGATACGCACACGCGTTCATCCGCGGACATAGCTGAACATCCAGGACATTCGCTACACACGAACCGCAGACGTGTGAACGGTCAAAAGAGAAGTGTCAGTGACGCTTCAGTGGCATTTCGCTACACACGAACCGCAGACGTGTGAACTGTCAAAAGTGGCATTTGAGAACATCCAGGACGTGTACGTGACTTTACATGACGCTTTTCGGAAATAACGGCGATCTGAACAGCGAAAGGAAAGGTGGCTGAAGCGAAATGGCTCAGCGGTCGGAGCGCGAATTTGCCTACCGGAAGGTTCATGGTTCGAACCCAACATCTGTCTCTCGACTTCCCCTGTCTAGGCTTGGGCAACCTGACAGTATTCCAGCCCTAATGCCTCCTTCTGGTGGCATGGCAGTTAGACATCGAAAGCGTGCTGCGGCTGAAGCGAGTCGGCCTATTTCAGTCGTAGCTGACCAGTCACTTCATACGAGTTCCAGTGGACCCGAATTCGGCAAGAACATAAACTTGTCTTATGGAAGGTAACGATCCATTTGTTCTTGAAAGACAATCACTGTTTGAGTCAAACATGGGCATCGATTGCTGCTCTCACCATTCGCAAGATTTTCACCAGCATCCCGTGCATAGTGAATGCTTGTGGTGTCCAGGTTGAGAAGCTATGTTGGAAACCTAACGGTGATGTTTTTGTTTTCTATTTTCGGGGTTGCTCTCCTAGAGGGAGGACACAGCTCGGTGGTTAGAGCGCGGACCGACTGACCAGAAAGTTTCGGACACGGCCTTTGCCCCTCGACTTCCTATGTCTCTAGGCTTGGGCAACCTGGCAGTATCCCAGTCCTCATGCTTCCTTCGGGTGGCGTGGCAGTTAGGCACCGAAAGGATGCTACAGCTGAACGTTTTTTACTGTCTTGGAGAGGTATATTCTCATCCACTAGTAATCTCTGACGAACGGAATTATTTGGCAGATGCAAGCCCCCTCAAAGACCACCTTCAGGCAGCCACCACTCAACCACTTTGTGTGTGTCCTTTGGACCGTAGCACGTGACACTCTGCTGATTGGACAGTGACCATCTTTCCACGTTTCGTTGTTTTCACAGCACCCAATGACACTTCTAAAGCCTAGATATGTATTTCCAGACTAGGAATAGGTTCTTTTTGCGCTCCCTGTCTTGTAAACATGAACTATTTGTAGCGCACTTCTAGGGGACCATTGTCTATGCAGGGTGGTGATGTTATCTGGAGATTTCTCAGCAGGCGTTCCGACGTACAGGAGCTCGTCTCTGGTCCCTTTGATGGCACTAAAGCATTTCATATCTTCTTCAAGCCAAATATCTAAGGCATTAGGGAATATACACTCATTTGCAAACTAATTCGGTTTTTTCGAGAGACTCACCTGGAACCCTGCTGAATCTCCCGTTTGTGATGTTCTCAGGCTGTGAACTGTTGACGGATTTTCAGTAACCTTATGAGTAGTACATTACAAAGATATCTAAGGCATCACATTCGCTCTGCAAACTCCGTGTATTATCACAGCTGAGTTGGATCCACTTGGGTCAGGTTAAAACAATGAACTTCGGTTGTGTGTGGAAGCACCAATAAGTCAGGAGTAATTCAAAGACACAGCGGAGTTATCAGGTAGCCGAGGCGTAATGGTTTGAGCAGTCAATCGAAGGGGGGAAGGTGCAACTACTATCAACGGTTGAACTAGTCGGAATCCAGCAGTTTGACGCGACCCTTCTCAAATCAGTCGGTTTCGGCGGAACGTCTTTTTTGAATTCACAGATCACCTGGGTTCCCCGTTCTATGTGTAGCTGATTGGAGATTACGGGACGCGTGACAGAGTGCGTGAAAACAAAGCTACCGGGCGCCCGTCTTGATTGGGAGTGGCCGCAATGGCTATGTCGGAAGCATCAGTTTCCACAACGAGTGGACGAGTGTAGTCTATGGTGAAAACGGCTGCCTTTTCCAAATCGTGTTTGAGCTTATTCAGTGCCGCTTGTACGCTATCTGGAATCGGGAAGAT